TCAACAGTGCATGTGAAGGCACCTTTTACACTCAAATGCCAGACAGATGCAATCTACCATGTGTTTTGTTTCAGTTGTGAGATCGTAACGTTTTCAAATAATTAGAACCTCATAAAGCACTCTCAAGCAATCAACTCTATTTAGAGAAATCGAATCTGCCTTTCCTGGTTCAGAACATCTTTCTCAAAAGTTGCAAAAACCCACTCAACTTTGTGAGCATTGAATAGTTGTGCAGATAAAGAGCCCTAGCTGTTGTAGTCTTTGGTGGTTAGGACTTAAATTCAATAGGAGAATGTTGACTTTATTAAACCCAGAAGTGAAGTGAATAGAGAGCAGGTACTCTAAGCTCCTCATTTTACAGATGATGGCCTGAGCCCCTGGACGCCGAGTAGCCTGCCCAGAATCACATGCTAATTGATGACAGATCTGGGGGTGGGATCTTGGCTCCTGTCATTTAAGTGTATCTCAGAAAGATGGTAAGGGCGTATGACTTAATGTGGCTGTCCCCTGAAACATGGAATTCTTGGAGAAAATGTTGGAAGAAATGTTAGGGCCTGGGCGTGCCATTCAAGCGCGTGACACCGTGAACTCAACGTGACCCACTTGGGGGGAAATGCAGTTGGGTTCTTAGTAATTCTTCACCATCACTCACTGCTCCTTTCCTCTGTAACAAAATTCTTCTCGAGCAGTCTCTGCAGTTAACTAACATTTTAAAGTACCGGTGTGAATGTGGCCTCCACAGGCTTGCTATGTGCACTTGGATGAGTAAACTATTAGTACAGATTAACAGTCTCTCTTTCTCTTCTCTCTAAGATTTATTGACATCTATATTTTTCGGCTTTGTGAGATGACTCTAAAACAACATAAGTGATGTCCCTCCCTCATCTGATAACTTGTCACATTTTCCTCTGTGAGCCATGTCTCAAGACAGAGCGTCAAGGACTCCCTCTGAGCACTGAGTGCCTGTGAGCCTGTCGCCCGTGCAGGCAGCACTTTGATCCCAGATGCACTAAGGGCAGAGCGTCCCCTCACCTTCCTCCCCATCCATTAATAAATCTACTTCTCCAGGGATCTACAGGGACTGTTTGTATGTTTGTTTGCTATAGTTTAATATGTTGGTAATTTGAGAAACTCCAGGGATCTAAGTCTTAGATGAAGGGGGAATTCATTTCACCAAGTTTTTATTTCATCCTTGGAAGATGTTGGAAGCAACTCCTAATTCTGGAGCCGACTAGGAAAAGCACTGTGTAAGAGTAGAATGACAGAATGATGAGTGAGCACACAGATTCTGGAGACAGATTGCCTGGGTTGAAATCTCAGCTCCTCTTTTTATTGTAGCTCTGTGGCTTTGGAGCAAGTTCCTTAGAGGCTCTAGGCTGCAGTTCCCTAATCTGAAGCCCTATCTTACAGAATTGTCGTGAGCCCTCAGTTAAAGGAACTAATCTTGATAAAGTGCTTAGAATAGTGCTAGATCCATCAGTGCACTTAATAAGTTACGATGACTTTAATGATCCTAGAGGGTCACTTTGAGTCAGAATTGACTGGATGGTGGTGAATTTTGTTCTTGTTTGTTTGTTTATGAGAAGAAGACCGGAGACCCTGAATACAAAAGGTTAACAAAAGACTTGGGTCCACCCAGGGGTGCTCCTGAAGAAAGGCCACTTGATCTTTCCCAAAGGTCAGCCAATGCAAACCCAAAGGAGCCAAGCTCCATTCAGATTCACACAGGTTTTCCATGAGTCGAAAGCCACTTTAGGGCAGCCAGTAAATAGGCTAAAGTTGCCCCCAGGTATGAGACACTATTCTATGTAGCTGCTACCATGCCCAAAGCTTTAGGATCCTGTAGTTTTGTGGGCACGACTTAATTTTTTCCTTAATTAGAATCACAAGCACACCTTGTAGTACCACCTGTCCCTCCATCCTACTGAATGAGAAAGGAAACAACAGCAAGACCAGATGCTTTGAACACCAAAGCACATGTCCCTGCAGCTCAGTGAGTACAGCCCCTCTTCACAGAGAACAGGGAGTCGGGTATACTGACTGAGGGGCCTCTGAACAGGCAGTTCCCTTGACGGGTGCACTGGTGTGTAACTCCTGGGCCGCTGTGGCCTTTTCCCCAGCAGCCTCCTGCAAAGGAGCCCAGAGCACTGGGCTCCCTTCCCTGGGAGGGGATTTCCGTGATGTGGTCCAGGGTGCTTCAGGGGGCTGGGCTGTGGGAGAGAGATTAATGGGAAGTGAAAAGAGAAACTTTGTTGTCCTTCACCATAAGGCTGTTTAGAGTGTGTGACTGACTCTTCTTGTGTTTAGGGAAAAGATTACTCATGAGTATTTTCTTCCATAGAATATAAAGAACCTCAAATTACTACTTGCACCCCCCACCCCCTCCTCACCCACCTCTCTCCGTGGCAGTATGTCCTCCGCAGAAACTTCAGCATTTCACTCTCATTTCCCCTCCCAAGCGGGATTCGGTTCTGTATTTGCTTCGGCACCCAAATAAGCTGTGAGCCCTAAGCTACCTCTTGCCTTTTTCCTGTTTCTAACGCAGCATCTTCTGCTCTGGGACCCTCTCAGCACCAGGCGTTTTTCTAGTGTGAGCTTGGCTGGGACCCCCGTATTTGCACCCCATGGCTGGCTCCAGACATGCTCCTCTTGTGAAAGCGAGGAAGGGGAAAGGCCGCCCTGTCAGCTTGCCAGTCCCAAGGAGACGTCACTGGCAGCAGAACGTCAAAGTGAAGCTCTGCTTCCAGTTCCAACATTGGGATCTTGCCGAGTCACCCCGACCCCCCCCCACCCCACCCCCGACTCCCACTGCCCTGTGATTCCAGGCATACTTTTCAGGGTGACTGGGAAGAGTTGGGACACCTCCTGTGTCCCTGAGCCATTTTAATAAGCCCAGTCAGGGGTCTAAAGGAAAACCTTGAGTTGCCGTAGCAGTCATCTTTTATGTATGTATTTATTTACTTGTAATACCCATAGAGCAGGAGCACACTACCAATTATTTGGTTTGATAATACCATTTGTTTCCTAGGTGGAAAAAAATTGCCCTAAACTAGAAAAACAAAATTCTTAATGACTCACTTGCAATTGTGTCACTGCGTGTAGCATATTATAAAACTCCTTATAAAAGGACTCCTTTTGAAAGGATTTCATGGGTTAGAGCTGGGCTGGGGAACCTTGGGGGGCCATTTGGAGATTGATAACATCATTTGCGGGCCATGCAAAATGCTCAACTTAAAAATTAACTTGCTAGACGTGGTTGACCTTTTCATTAACTCACCCGGAATGTGATGGCTAGAACGCCTTCTCCTTGGTGAGGCTTGTGATGTTAGCTGATACTGTTGATTTTTCCAGCCTTATGTGGCCCTTGGGCCAGACGGTCCCCATCCCTAGGTTAGAGGAAACCAGCTACCCTCCTCCAAGACTTTAGCACTTTGCAGAGACTTTGAAAAGAGCCAACAGTCACGCTAAGTACTTCGGGACACTCTCCACTCTCTGAGAGATCTGAGCCTTACATCCCCTGCCTCCCACAGGGCAGACCAGCAACCCATCTAGCCAACTGGTTTAAAGTTCAAGGGTGATTCTTTCCAGGACAAACTGAGCGACGCCCATAGGGCACACTCACTGTCTCCTAACAGGTGTAAGCAACGTCTGTGGAGAAAAACAGCAGCACTGGTTGGCATGCACTGATTTCACCCCGCTCTGTTTCAGCGATTGAAAAGCACAACACAACTTAAGAGAACGCTGCTGTAAGCACACAGCTTCTTCGAACCCAGTGACTCAATGTTTGGTCCCAGGATCACCTTATATTCTTAAAAATGATCGAAGACCCCAAGTGCTTTTGGCTTATGTGGGCTATGGCTACCAATAGTTACCATGTTGGGATTGAAACTGAGAATTTAAAATTTATTTAAAAATTATCCACGTATCTGCTAACATTTAAGTATATATTAACAACTATATTTCCAAAAAATATATTTTTTTAGTGAGAGAATGGCATAGTTTTATATTTGCATGAATTTCGTTATTGCCTACCGTAACAGAAGATGACTGGATTCTCATATCCGCATCCGCATGCAATCTGTTACAATATCACACATCATGTAGCCTCTGGAAAATTCCATTGCACCCTTGTGAAAGAATGAAAGTGAAAAAGGAAAATAACCTCTTAATATTATTATGAACATAAGTTTTCCTTTGTTGGTCTACTGAAAAGGGGCGCCCACAGGTCCTACCACCACACTGGGAGAACTCCTGTGCTGGCTCCTTCAGTCATGCATCAAGATGCTCCACAGCAGTAAGGTAACATAAGCCCATCATTAGGATGGTAGAGATCTGGCCTGGACCACCTTTTCACCCTCCACCTCATCTCTCTCTCCACTGGGCTCCTGCCCCACTGAGCCCCTAGTCCCACCCCCACCAGGCGGTTGTATAACATGGGCTAAAACACCCTCTAGTTCCCAGATCCTTGCCTAATGGCTTCCCAGGGGCCAAGTGAATTGCTCTTCCTGGAAGACGGTTCAGGGAACACTTCATTATTTGGCAGCTCTGGAAGGTCAAGCCCAGTTCTGGGCAAGTCCCACTTTAAAAGACTTTGGACTAGACTCAGATCAGTGGCTATGCTAAGGGCCCCTCCCGAGCAAGCTCTCTTGTGACTTTGGAGCCTCCTCATTGGGTACAGCCCACCTTGATCTACAACCTTAGGACACCTCTGAATCAAGACAGGCTTGGGACTGGGCAAGGAAGAACAGGGCCTTCCAACTCTCAAAGATGTTTTTGAATGAATTTCATTTTGCCTCTGAATAAAAAGTTCACTTATAACACACATTGGCACTTCTGAGGCCCCAGTTTTAACCAGGGGCCCAGAGTTGATAAGGAATCTTCAGACATGAGACGTAAGTGGGTTAACTACGCAGAAATCTTTCCCCTTTATTCCAACTCGCACACTGATAAGACTTTTTTCCTCCCCTTCTCTCCTCCTTTCTCCCTTGCTCTCCCAACAGGCTTGCAGCCAATTTACTGGAGCAGGGATGACGTAGCCCAGTGGCTCAAGTGGGCTGAAAACGAGTTTTCTTTAAGGCCAATTGACAGCAACACATTTGAGATGAATGGCAAAGCTCTCCTGCTGCTGACCAAGGAGGACTTTCGCTATCGATCTCCCCATTCAGGTGAGAGTCTGAACCCATGACATATGCTTATGCACCTCTGAGAGTCTGGACCCTTGACATGTGCATATGCTCCTGTTCATCTGCGGTTGGTCCTTACCACCGTGGGTGTCAACACCCCCTCACAGTTGAGCACCCAGAGCACCAGGAGAGTGGCAGCTCAGTAGAAGAAAGATTCCATTGACAAGCCAGATGAAGGAGGAAGGGAAATAGCTTCCAGGTCAAACGGAAACCCTCGCCATTCACAATGACCCATTGTGCAACCCAGACAGAGAAGCAAGAAAGCGTAGAGTTGTGCCACCAAATAAGAAAAAAAACACCATTCAGTCTTGCTCTCTGCTCCTTCCCCTGCTCCTAAGAGGCAGGGACGTGAGCAGGGCTGAGGTAGAAGGGTGAAGGGAAGTGGAGTTGAGGGAACTAGGGACAAGGACCGGGAACTCTGGAGATCTAAGTCACTAAGGAAAGTTTAGAAAGAAACTCGAAGGACTGCCGATGGTTTTCCTTAGCAGTATTGGATTTTCAAGTAAGGCCATAGAGGGAGATTTACTTCAGTAGTGAGTATTTATTTGTACCTGTAAAGTGTATTGCCGGCATGGGTAAGACTTCCTACAGGCCTCCTGATTCCATTTCTTACACCATGGGGACATTTGAAGATGCAGGACCGCTGTATGCCAAAGGGAAGCCTTGGTCTCTGGTTTGTGCCTCTTGAGGGGCCGGTTACTGATGTATCCAGAGGACCTCATTCTGTCCAGTCTCATTGGGGCCCCCAGCTTTGATGGAAGTCTGGCAGAGCCCTGTTTTATCCTGACTGGCACAAAGTCTTGGCCTCGTCCCACAAATGCTCAGCCCGTATTTACTCCTGGAGACCTGCCAGCAGTTAATAAAGTAACCGTCATGCGGAAATGCCCCCCATCACAGGAGATGAGATAAGGATACGGAACAGTACGGCCTCTGCTCTTCCCAAGTGCAGGAGACCGTTGTACGTGACGACGTGCAAAAAGGGAAGTGTAGCCATAGATGGGACTAAAAATTAAAAGTTTGCATCTCTGAGAATGGATCTTTTTTTTCTTCATCTTTTTAAGTTGTACAGTGCACATAAACATACCTGGAACGTTTTACCTCAAATCACTGCTTTTTATCATTTCAGCCTAAGAAAACTTTAAAATAGCCAACTTACGTAAATAAATGAAACTTCCCTAGATAGTTCCTTTTATTGCAAAATAATTTCCTTTTCGGTTGCAGTGGAAACTGAAAGATGCCATACTCACAGAGGCAACGTTGCATTATCTGGAGGAGAGAGAGAGAGAGGCAGAGAGCTCGAACTCTTCAGTTTTCTGATGGACCCATTTATGGAAAGCGAGCAAGCCGGGGAAAGCCCCGCAGCCTGTTTTCACTTGATCTGACTGAGCCCTGGGCAAGCTTTCCTCCCAGACGCTTTGTAAAGTCCCTCCTCGCCCTACTTCAAGTGCTTCTTTTTATCCTGGGATTCTTTCTCTCAGGCAGGACCTCTGAACTTAGGAAACTTGTCTGTCGGCTCAAAGCCGGAAGCAAAGACAAGGAAACCTGTCAACAGTTCCTTGCCCCTCTGTCAAGTCTGGGCCCGATGGGCCCCAAGGAACAGTGCTGTGCCTGAGGCAGTTCACGATCAGTTAGAGCAGTGGTTCTCAGCCTGTGGGTCGAGACCCCTTTGGGAGCCGGACGCCTCTTTTACAGGGGTCTCCTGATTCATAACAGTAGCAAACTGACAGTGATGAAGTAGCAACAGAAATAATTTAATGGTTGGGGGGGTCACCACCACAGGAGGAACTGTCCTAAAGTCACGGCAGTAGGGAGGTTGAGAACCACTGAATTAGAGTCAGGATTGCAGTGGCCCAAAAGGCAAAAGGAAGCTGGCGAAGGGACAGCAGAAATAGGTTAGGTCTCGGGTGTGGAGGGAGGAAGTCAGTTGGAACTTGAAGGCTGGGCTGTATTTAGTAGGCGTGGAGGGGCCATTGGGGTAATTGGAGCGGTGTTGTTTTGTTGTTAGGTACCGGCGAGTCAGTTCTGACTCATATCGACGTCATCTGACACAGTAAAACTCGCCCATCAGGGTTTCTAGGCCATTTTCTTTATTGGAGTAGAAAATGAAGTCATTCTCCCAGGGAACTGCTTGGTGGGTTGGCAGCTGAGCACTTGACCATTGCACCCCATGTGTAAGAGAGTAGAACTTCTCCCTGGGCTTTTCAGTGGCTGATATGCAGGCATCTCTTCCCTGGTGTCTCTGAGTAAACTCAATCCACCAGCCTTTTTGGTTAACTGCTGAGCACTTCCGTGTTTGTACTATTCAGAGATGCGTGCATATCAGTCACTGAAAAGCCAGGGAGCAGTTCAGACGTTGCAGAGTTCAGCTGTTCAGGTGTTAGAGAGGCAGTTTCTAGCTGGATTGCCAGGGAGCTGAAGGGTGGTTGTGATGAGGGCTATGCTTTGGACTCTTTGAAAGGTAAGCAATAGGGAGATGATGAGGAAGTGGTTGTTCAGGAGGCCTGCCAGCTCCCTCAGGTGGGAAAAATGCTCAGAGATAAGGCCCCAGGCTAGTCTCTTGTGCTTTGTTCTACTGACTTTGCCCAGGGGAGCCTTCCCTGGCTCCCCTTGCTTTCCTAATGCCACCGTGCTCCCCTCTGCCCACCTCATTGTGGACGAGGTGTTAGTCCTCTTGTATCCTGGATCATTTCTACTTCTGTCACTGCCCCCAGCACAGATACTGTTGTTGCCTGTTGTTCGGTGCCATTGAGTTGGTACCAACTCATGGCGAACACTGCCCTGTCCTACCCATCTTCACAGTGGTTGCTGTGCTTGGCCCACTGTTGCAGTCACTGTGCCTGTGGATCTCACCCCGTAAGGGTCTTCTTCTTTTTCGCTGCCCCTCTGCTTTAACCAAGCATGATGTCCTTTTCTAGGAACTGACCCTTCCGGATAACATGTCCAAAGCACGTGGATGCTGTCTTACCATCCTTGCTTCTAAAGAGCATTCTAGCTGTACTTCTTCCAAAACTAGTTTGTTTGTTCTTCCGGCAACCCAGGACATAGTCGGCGTCTTCAACAGCACCATAATTCAAATACGCCAGTGCTTCTTCGGCCTTCTTTATTCAGAGTCCAACTTTCACATGCATAGGAGGCAATCGAAAAGACCATGGCATGGGTCAGGTGCCCCTCAGCACACACACTGTTTATGATTGCTTCTGTTCTGTGGCCCTCCCCTAGAGTAGGGAGTGTATCCTATGGAGTTACTGTGTGTCCAACATCTAGCACAGAGCCTCGCATCCAGTCGCCACACAGTTCAGGGAGGTGGATTGGCAGAGTGGCTGCAACAACCGCAACAGCTCAAAAGTAGCAACTGTGAGGATGGCACGGGACCAAGTAGGGTTTGTTCTGTTGTAAAAATTAGAACTAATTCAATGGCTTCTCACGATGACAATGATAGATATTGACAGAATTATGACCCAGATTGAGAGTACCTTAGAGTCCAGGTGAAGAAGTTTGGATTTTATTTTGTAGGGTTTTGACCAGGAAAAGATTGTAATCGGAGTGCTCCCTTCTCTGGGAACTGACTTTGGCAGCAGTGCATAGGATGGGTTGATGGCATCAGTAAACACAGGAGAGCGAGTTGAGTGCTATTGCTACAATCCTGATGTGAGACAACGACGTCCTCAACTGGATTGATGAGGCCAACATACGAGTCTTGTAGGCACAAAGTGATCTGCTCAAATGGGAGCTGATTTGGAAATCATGGTAAGAGTTCATTTGGGAGCATTCCGTGCCAGGATATTCACGACCTATTCTGCTCTGCTCTTGGGAGTCCTAAACGAGGCAGACCTGAGCTGGGAATCCTAGATCTCTGTGTCACCCCATCAGGATCTGGGATACTGCCTTTTTGTTGTAGGCAGTCTAAGGAAGGCACCCACCAGGCTTGCATGAGCAGAACATCAAAGTAGCACCTGTCAATCGGGGCCGGAAGAAAACACCTCACAAAACCGAGTCTGGAGAACAGAACCATGACGGCATAATTGTGTTGTCTTCATTGATGTTCTCTATTTTACTGCTCTCCGTTTTAATATCCATTGCAATGGTTACACAGAATTACAAAGTTCGTGATCAATGGGTTTATTAAGGAAGTTAGGTTGCAATGCAAGTGAGAAATGCTCAGGACAGTTGGTTTTCAGGACATGTTATAAAGTTCTTTCAGATCTGCTAATAAATGTCTAAAGAGGCTTACCACTCTGCTGTAAGCCCCAAACTAAAGGAATTTAGCCCAAATTCCATGAGTCAGCAAACCCAGCTCCTGGAATTCAATGCCTAGAGGCACCCCTGCTCCGCAAGCCAGCCTCCTGCACAGAAGCCCGCAGCCTTACTTGCTCGGTGGGTTGGGAAGCCCATCACTCTGTTCAGTGCTCTGACTCCTGGTCCTGCTGCTGATCCAGGAGCTTCGCGGCACCAGATCCCCGGTCTGGAAGACACCCTCCACTCCCGGCTCTTGCTGGTAACGAGATTGCCCTTCCTGCTTCTCAGAGAGTGCGTTTAAAACACAACAGGATGGTACCCCAGGGAATTCCCATGACTCACAGGTGAATCCTGTCAGTATCTTCTCCCCCTTTCTTAACCAGACCCATGCAGGTAAAGGTCATTTGGTGGGAGTTAGCGGCTTTAGCTAGTAGAGCCACATTCAATAATTTACTGCCCCTGTCATCTCAAAAGACTTTTCTCTTGAAGAGGCCACCCCCAGGAGTGATGGAGGCTGTGATGTAGCTGCTGGCCCAGCTAAGACATTGTTTGAATCATCAGATGGAGCATTTTGTACATTTGACACAGCCTTTCTGGGTGTAGAGGAAATCCTGAGGCCTGAGTTCCACACAGGACTCTTCCAGAAATCACATCACTTCATTTGACCTTACTTTCCTCAAACCCAGAATGAGGTATTCACCATGTGGATCCTAAGTTCCCTTTAACACTTAATAATTCAGCCCAGC